CATAAAGGAAAAGAATATTTTAAAAGAATGTGTGTGTGTGCATGTGTGTGTCTGCGTGTGTATATTTCCCTGCTGGCTCAGCAGTAAAGAATCTGCCCTCAATGCACGAGCCGCAGGAGATGCAGGTTCAGTCCCTGCATCAGGAAGATCCCCTGGAGGAGGGCATGGCAACCCTCTCCAGTATTCTTGCCTGGAGATAGTTGAGCCTGGTGAGCTACAGTCCATAGGGTTGCAAAGAGCAGGACACAGCTGAAAAGACTTAGCATACACGCAGGTCTCTACTGATAAATTAGCCAGCTTTTGCAACGACTTTGGAATATAAATGACTTTGGAATAATAGTCAGTGGAATGTCCACTGACTCGATGGACATGGGTTTGAGTAAACTCCGGGAGTTGGTGATGGACAGGGGGGCCTGGCGTGCTGCGGTTCCTGGGGTCGCAAAGAGTCGGACACGACGGAGCGACTGAACTGAACTGAACTGGTGTTTACATTAGGATAACCCCACCCAGAAAATCTAGGGTAACCTAGGTTTGAACAGCCTTTCTGTCCGTCCCAGGCGGCACGCTGAGATCGACCATGGTTGCAGGTCTGTGTTAGTTTTCCGCAGCTGCCATAACAAGTACCACACACCCGGCGTCTCAGAACAGCACAGGTCTATCACCTGACAGCTCAGTAGGTCGGGAACCGGACACAGGTCTCACTGGCCTAAAATGAAGGTGTCTGTGTGGCTGCGTTTCCTACTGGAGTCTCTAGAAGGAGAGTCACTTCCTTACAATTCCAGCTTCTAGAGGCTGCTCACAGGCCTTGGCTCTCAGCAGCATCTTTCTTCCTCACAGCCAGCAACATGGATCCCTCTGACCCCTCTTCATAATCATATCTCGTTCTGACTTTCTTAAGGACCCCTAAGTTTACATTTAAATTAAGTTAAAAGACGCTTACTCCTTGGAAGGAAAGTTATGACCAACCTAGATGGCATATTAAAAAGCAGAGACATTACTTTGCCAACAAAGGTCTGTCTGGTCAAGGCTATGGTTTTTCCAGTGGTCATGTGTGGATGTGAGAGTTGGACTGTGAAGAAAGCTGAGCGCCAAAGAATTGATGCTTTTGAACTGTGGTGTTGGAGAAGACTCTTGAGAGTCCCTTGGACTGCAAGGAGATCCAACCAGTCCATCCTAAAGGAGATCAGTCCCGGGTGTTCATTGGAAGGACTGATGCTGAAGCTGAAACTCCAGTTCTTTGGCCACATGATTGCAGAGAGCTGACTCATTGGAAAAGACCCTGATGCTGGGAGGGATTGGGGGCAGGAGGAGAAGGGGATGACAGAGGATGAGATGGCTGGATGGCATCACCGACTCTATGCATATGGGTTTGGGTGGACTCTGGGAGTTGGTGATGGACAGGGAGCCCTGGCATGCTGAGGTTCATGGGGTCATGAAGAGTCGGACATGACTGAGCAACTGAACTGAACTGAGTTAAGGATCTACTCTTAGCAACCTTCAAATATACCTTATAGCTGTGCTAACTGTAGTTATCAAACTGTATGTTACATTCCCAGGACTTATCTTTTTTATTTTTTTATTGGGATATAGTTGATTTACAGTGTTGGGTTAGTTTTAGGTATACAACAAAGTGATTCAGTTATACACGTACATACATTCTTTTTCATATTCTTTTCCATTATTGTTTATCATAGGATATTGAATATAGCTCCCTATAGTCCCAACAGGGTCCTTGTTGTTTATTCATTTTTTTAATTATTTAAATTTGTTTTTAACTGGAGGATAATTGCTTTATAATATTGTGTTGGTTTCTGCCATATTCTAAATGTAATAGTTTGCACCTGCTAACCCCAAGCTCCTGGTCCATCCCTCCTCTAACCACCCTGGCTTGGCAATTACAAGTTGGTTCTCTATGCCAGGACTTATTTATCTTATAACTAGCTGTTGTACCTTTTGACCATCTTCATCAAATCCCTCATCTCCACATCCTCTATTTCTGGTAACCACAAATCTAATCTTTTTTTTTTTTTCCTATGAATTGGGAGGGTTTGGGGCAGTTTTGGTTTTTTGATTTTGTTTAGATTGCACATAGAAGTGAGATCATACAGTATTTGTCTTTCTCTATCTGACTTATTTCACTTCACATAATGCCCTCAAGGCCCATTCACAGTGTCATAAATGTCAGGATTTCCTTCTTTTTTAGGGATGCGTATAAATATATTTGGGTTTCTCTGGGAGCTTAGTGGTAAAGAATCTGCCTGCAATGCAGGAGACACAAGTCTGCTCCCTAGATCCATAAGATACCCTGGAGAAGGAAATGAAAACCCACTCTAGTAGGAAAACCCATAGAGAGAGGAGCATGGCAGGCCACAGGCCCCAGGGCTGCAAGAGTCAGACACAACCGAGCAACTAGATAGCAACAGATACATACACTTGACTGCATGTATGCGCTTATGTGTAACCTCACAGCTTCTTCACCCACTCATCCTTCTGTGGACACTTAAGTTGTTCCTATGTCGGGGCTGCTGTCAGTAACGCTGCAATAAATATGGGTGCAGATATCTCTGAGTGTGGTAACTTCACCTCCTAAGAGACCACTGTAAGGCTGTCGTGGTTGCTCTCCAGCTTTCTGATCCTGACTGGAGCAGAGTTCAGAGCCCTGAGTTTTCATTCTCACTGCCCTCAGGAGCAGCCGCGTCACCCACAGTTGTTGCTCGGGATGGTTGTCACCACCGAGGTGGCCACCTGCAGCAGACACGTGAGTCAGACGCTCGGTTTATGAAACGTCACGAGAATCACCTGGCGGTTCAGACACTCTCCTTGCCACTGCACCTCAGGTCTTTCCAGCATCGGGTTGCTGGTGGTTAGGAGCTCAGCACTGCACTTAAGCTGCGATACCACCAAACCAATTCCTAAGTCTCCTCACTGAGGATCTGTTTCCTGAAATAAGGAACCCTTGACATCTTACATCATCCTATATGAGTCCAGGTTTAGTCAGAAAAACAGAAATCACACTACCTATTCAACAAAGGGGAGCTCATATAAATAACCGCTTCCCTGTCTTGGCTATCGTAAATAGTGCTGCTATGAACAGGTATGCTTATATCTTTTTGAATTAACATTTATCTGGATAAATACCCAGGAGTTGAATTGTTGGATCATATGATAGCTCTATTTTTAGTTTTTTAAAAGAACTTCCTTAACTGTTCTCCATATGAACTAGCTGCATCAGCTTACATTCCCACTAACAGCCAAGACGTTGAAGCAATATAAGTGTCCTACAACAGAGGAATGGATAAAAAAGTGAAAGTGAAAGTCACTCAGTTGTGTCCAACTGTTTGCGACCCTATGGACTATACAGTCCATGGAATCCTCTAGGACAGAATACTGGAGTGGGTAACCTTTCCTTTCTCCAGGGGATCTTCCCAACCCAGAAACTGAACCAGGGTCTCCGGCATTGCAGGCAAATTCTTTACCAGCTGAGCTACCAGGGAATCCCAAACATGTGATACATGTATACAATGGAATATTACTAAGCCATAAAAAAAGAATGACATAATGCCATTTGACATGGCTGGACATAGAGATTATCATACTAAGTGAAGTAGTCAGACAAAGACCAATACCATATGATGTGACTTATATGTGGAGTCTTAAAAAATAATACAAATGAATTTATTTATAAAACAGAAATAGACTCACAGACATAGCCATGGTTACCAAAGGGCAGAGGGGGAAGAGAAAAAATAGAAGGTTGGGATTAATGTATACACACAACCATATATAAATTGATAAACAACAAGGACCTACTGAATAGCACAAGGAACTATATTCAATATTTTGTAATAACCTATAAGGGAACAGAATCTGAAAAAGAATAGATTTGTATAGATATAGATAGGCAGATATATATATACGTGTGGTATATATATATACATGCATATATATGCATAACTGAATCACTTTGTTGTATACCTGAAATTAACAGGTGGGTCTTTTTTTCATATTCTTTCCCATTGTGGATTGTCACAGGATATTGAATACAGTTCCCTGTACTATACAATATTATCTTGCCGTGTATATAGTCTCTATACTTTAGTTTGCATTTGCTAGTCCCAAACGCCTAATCCATCTTTCCCCAATCCCCTCCTGCTAGGTGACCACAAGCCTGTTCTCTGTCTGTGAGTCTGTTCCACAGATAAGTTCATTTGTGTCATATTTTAGATTTCACATATGGCATCTGTCTTTCTCCATCTGATTTACTTCACTTGGTATGATAATCTCCAGGTACATCCATGGTACTCCAAACAGTATTATTTCACTCTTTTTCATGGTAGAGTACTATTCCATGGTGTGTGTACGTGTGCGCTCAGTCATGTCCGACTCTTTGCAGCCCTATGGACTGTAGCCCACCGGGTTCCTCATGAGATTTTCCAGGCAAGACTACTGGAGCAGGCTGCCATTTCCTCCTCCAGGGGATCTTCCTGACACAGGGATGGGTCCCACACCTCTGCATCTCCCGCAATGGTAGGTGGCTTCTTCATTACTAGCGCCACCTGGGAATATGTACTTCTTTTTCCATTCATCTGTCAATGGACATCAAGGTTGCTTCTATGTTTTGGCTATTGTGATTACTGCCACTATGAATACAGGGTAAAGGGGTAGGTCTTCTTATTTGCATTTTTTAATTATGAAATGGAGGGTCGAAGAAGTTAAGTAAATTTTCAAACATTACCCAGCTGATAAGAAGCAGAACTGAATTCCAAAGCTCTTACCTCTCTAAGGGTAGAGTTCTTACCCTCTCTGGACCTCCACTTGCCCCAAACTGTCTGATCACCTGCAGGAAGACCCATCAGACCTAGAAGGAGGGAAGCAACCATTAGCCAATTAAATGGCAGTTGGGCCTCCACATGCTAATCAAGCGCCTGGATCCCCTGGGACCACGGGTGAGCCGGTACAGGCCGACCACCTGTCCACCCGCCTCTCCCGGCCTCCACCAGGCACAAGACTCCAAGTCGCGTCAGTGCGGCAGCAAGCCGCCGCCCAGGCCCTGGTCGCTGGATGGCTTCTCATCGGAGGCACGAGATGACAACTCATCAGAAGAAAATCCCAGACCACGGTGTCCTGAGAAGATTCCTCTGATTCTCCGTAAAATGCTTGGGCAGGATTTTCCACGTCCTCCCATATCAGAGGACGGGCTCAGTGTTCCCAGAAGAGAGGTGAGTGGTGCCCCACCCTTGAGGAAGACACTCACACCCTCCCATGGAGGCAGTATAAAACTGGGTCCACCACACAAAGACACGCAGAGGCCAGCGATGCTGTGGAGACAGAATGTCTGGGAAAGAGCTGCCTGGCTAACAGATGCCCAAAGCATCAGCAGAGAGGTTATTCTCACAAGCGGCAACAGGGCTCCCAACAGGCCCAGAAACAACAAAATTAATGGATTGGAAAGCAAGAATCTAATGCACGCGCTCTCAGAATTCCCCAGACTGGCTGACTCACTGCTCACACCCGGCAGTCTCAGCACTGGGGGCTAAGGTTTCCGGGACCCCCTGGGGGAGGAAGGGTGGCAGAGAAGAGTGGGAAGATGGATAGGAGGTCAGCCAGTACCAGCACCTTCCATGAAACAAAATACCATTTTCACAAAGAGCTTCTTTGAACTTCAGTAAAACAAATAGCATTTACACAAACAGCCTCCAAAAAATAAACTCCATAATGAGAGAGCAAGGAAGCCGACATCTACCCAGTTCACCCGCTTGACGGTTAAATCATTTTTTATTGAATTCAAGTTTCATGGCCCATTAGAGGCCTGGAGGCAGAATTCTCAGGGATGCTTTTGGACTAATGAGTATTTTGCAAATTATTTTTCTAACAGATTTGTTGTTCTTCTTTTCTGAGGATCATAAGAACCTTTGGTTTATGCCATTTGGTCCTGCACTTGAAAAAGAGCAGCAAGCATTTTAATTGAACCTATTTTATTTCTATTATTAAGAGATGATGGAGTTTTGTATCTTCCTAATATGTTTTTGACACTGATATGAGTATGCTGTCATCAATCAAAATAACACACCCTCCCACACTTGTCTTTTCACATTTATCAAATATGCTCTGACAAATGTTCCCTCACTTCCTCTGTAAAGACACAGATCTGCTTTCATGGACTCAACAATCCAAAGCAAACAGAACTTCCAGACTGAACCACTGTTAGGTATTAACTCCTGTCTCCAGATTTCCTGTCTCCTCTCTTTAACACTGCCAAACGAGGTGGGCATGGGGAGGGGACAGGCAGGGAGGAACAGGTCATTAGGCTTCAGAACCCCTCCTCCCTGCCAGGGAGGGCTAGTGCCCACCCTCCAGAGGTGGACAAGCCTGGCCCTGGTACCTTCCCCTAGAGCTTCCAGAAAAGTCTTTGCTCAAAACCACAATGAGGTACCATTACACGCCAGTCAGGATGGCTGCTATCCAAAAGTCTACAAGCAATAAATGCTGGAGAGGGTGTGGAGAAAAGGGAACCCTCTTACACTGTTGGTGGGAATGCAAACTAGTACAGCCGCTATGGAGAACAGTGTGGAGATTCCTTAAAAAGCTGGAAATAGAACTGCCATATGACCCAGCAATACCACTTCTAGGCATACACACTGAGGAAACCAGATCTGAAAGAGACACGTGCACCCCAATGTTCATCGCAGCACTGTTTATCATAGCCAGGACATGGAAGCAACCTAGATGCCCATCAGCAGACGAATGGATGAGGAAGCTGTGGTACATATACACCATGGAATATTACTCAGCCATTAAAAAGAATTCATTTGAATCAGTTCTAATGAGATGGATGAAACTGGAGCCCATTATACAGAGCGAAGTAAGCCAGAAAGATAAAGACCATTACAGTATACTAACACATATATATGGAATTTAGAAAGATGGTAACGATAACCCTATATGCAAAAAAAGAAAAAGAGACTCAGATGTATAGAACAGACTTGTGGACTCTGTGGGAGAAGGCGAGGGTGGGATGTTTCAAGAGAACAGCATTGAAACATGTATATCTAGGGTGAAACAGATCACCAGCCCAGGTTGGATGCATGAGACAAGTGCTTGGGCCTGGTGCACTGGGAAGACCCAGAGGGATAGGGCGGAGAGGGAGGTGGGAGGGGGGACCGGGATGGGGAATACATGTAAATCCATGGCTAATTCATTTCAATGTATGACAAAAACCACTGCAATGTTGTAAGGTAATTGGCCTCCAACTAATAAAAATAAATGGAAAAAATAAAAAATAAAAATAAAATAAATAAAATAAATAAAATAAAAAATAAAAAAAAAAAGAAAAGTCTTTGCTTTTCTGCAGGGATCAGCAAGCTGATAAGACACGCCTGAAAGAAGCCAGCCTGCGTACTCAGGAGAGGAAGTTATTGTATCTCTGCTGCTGCTGCTGCTAAGTCGCTTCAGTCGTGTCTGACTCTGTGCGACCCCATCCCTGGGATTCTCCAGGCAAGAACACTGGAGTGGGTCGCCATTTCCTTCTCCAGTGCATGAAAGTGAAAAGTGAAAGTGAAGTCGCTCAGTCGTGTCCAACTCTTATCGACCCCATGGACTGCAGCCCACCAGGCTCCTCCATCCATGAGATTTTCCAGGCAAGAGTGCTGGAGCGGGGTGCCATTGCCTTCTCCAATTGTATCTCTAGAGATAGTCAAGTTTCATTTCTAGACCACTCAGGCCTAGGAGCCAATGAATTATATGATTTTCTCATTAGCATGATTTGGGCTTGTCACATGCAGTGAAGGAGCCCATAGTATCTGCAGTGGGAATCAAGCCAGCGGTTAAATATTGATGGATTTCTTTCCAGGGGTCAAGCACTGTGCTCAGCTCTGGGGACCCAGCAAGGGTCCAAGCAGATGTGCTGGACTCCAGCCAAGATGCTTCTCGGATGCTCACCCAGATGGAGGAAGCCTTCACAGCGGAATGAGGATGGAGGAAAGCGGTGTGCAGACGCCAGAGACACAGTCGCCTGGAACACAGCCATGTAGAGCTAGAGGCACAAGCTGGCAGATTCAGATCCTGGGCGAAGTCCCACCAAAATGGCTTGCTGGGGACTTTAATGTGGTGTGGGGAAAGAGAGCAGGCAAGGAGGGGATTTAGGTTTCCTATTGGGAGTAGGTTGATGGTGGGAGATTTTCCATGAAAAATCATGGTATGAAAAAAGGTCTATACATAGAAAACAAACTTACGGTTACCAAAGAGGAAAGAAGGGAAAAGGGAGGGAAAAGTTAGGAGGTTGGGATTACCATATACAGACTACTATATATGAAACAGAGAAACAACAAGGATTGACCATTTAGCACGGGAAACTATACTCAATATTTTACAATAAACTATAATGCAATGGTCCCCAACCTTTGGGCACCAAGGACCAGGGTAGGGGGCAGATAATCTCAGGACAATTCAAGCACATTACATTTATTATACAGTTTATATCTATTATTATTACATTGTGATATATAATGAAATAATTATACAACTCACCATAATGCAAAATCAGATCATCAGGCATTAGATTCTCATAACAATCATGCAACCTAGATCCCTTGCATGCACAGTTCACAGCAGAGCTCATGCTCCTATGAAAATCTAATGCCACCACTGATCTGACAGGAAGTAGAGCTCAGGCAGTAATGTGAGCATTGGGGGAGCAGATGTAAACAGAGATGAAGCTTCTCTTGCTCACTTAATGGTCACCTCCTACTGTGCAGACTGGTTCCTAACAGACCATGAACTTGTTGGGGACCTCTGCTATAATGCAAAGGAATCAGGAAAAGAGTAGACACATAAATAAATAAATAAATACATACATAAATATCTGAATCACTGTGCTATACACCTGAAATCAACTATACAGAAAGACAGGAAGAAAAGAAGGAAGGGGAAAAGGTCTATGGGGAAAACATAGATTTGAATCAAAAATAGTGAATTTAATGGAATGTGCCAAGAAAAATGCCCAGTATGCAACTGGGCATTCCTGGTGACTCAGATGGCAAAGAATCTGCCTGCAATGCAGGAGACCTGGGTTCAATCCCTGAGTCGGGAAGATCCCCTGAAGAAGGAAATGGCTACCCATCACCTCCTTGGGTAGCCTAAGTCTCCTGACAACCTTATAATTCCAGGCTAGTTCCCAGGCTCTAAGCCCATCCAGTTCTTTCTGCTCTCAGCAGAACCCACCCCCTACTCTCTACCACCCCCCAGCAACTCTCGACTATTCCCTTATATTATATCTGTGGCCAGTTTTCAGCCAAATCCCCTATATTCTCAAACTTTCTGAATGTGTCCTTTCTATTCCACAATGCTTCAGCACCAGTAGGACTTTGAATGCATTGACCCGATGCATCCACTCACTGTCCCTGGACCACCTTGTGCCTTTTTATAATCCCTCTCATGCCACATCCTCAAACTCCTCATCCATGTTCTCCCCTCCTTGCTTCTTGCCCAGCAAAACTTGACCCTCAGTAAATCCTCCATTGACATGTTTGTCCCCATACCCCAGCAGCTGGCTGAATATGGCTGGACAAAAACACACCCACTGGTCTCATTTCAAGTTCATGATGGCTGCTGCCCTGCCCCACCCCTGGTCCATTTTCCCTCCACAATTTAGGGGACCACTGAACACCCAGCTCTCAGCTCCAGCTTGCAGCCCCTCCTTCTCTGCTCACTAGATAACTGGTGAGAACCTACTGTATAGTTCAGAGTCCTGGTCAGTGCTCTGTGGTAACCCAAATGGGAAGGAAATCCAAAAGAGAGGATTATATAAACATATAAGTGATTCACTTTGCCACAAGGCAGAAACTAACACAGCATGTGAAGCAACTATACTCCAAAAAGGATTCATTAAAAAACCATCTACTTTTGAACTCACTGATGATTTCAACCACAGAGACTTAAAGAGGTTGCACTTAAGTCCTCTCCTGGATCTGTGATCTCCTAGCTTGGTTACCAGAAATGACCATCCTTCTCCCCTGCCCACCCTTCCATGGTGCCCACGGATGGACACTGGTTCAGGTGTCCTGGGGAGACAGGGTGGGGTGGGATGGTCTCACCTCTGTCCCCTCCTCTCCATCCCCACGTTCGATCGGTTCTGCCCTGGATGATGCAGCACGCACCACTCCTCTCAGACCCACCCCAGCCCCTGGTTTCTCCCCTGAAGATGGCGGGTCTGTGTGGGTCAGCCAGGTGACCCCTCAGGACTGTTCCCTCTCCCTCTCACTAGAACAGCAGAGAAACCCAGAGTCCTTGCTTCCGCCTATATTTCAGCACACAGCCTGTTCTGTTCTAAGGCTAAGTTGCTCCGCTATAAAAATGATTAGTTAATTGGGTGTAGGCAGTGCGAAGCATAAGGGACCGTGAGCATGGACAGCTGAAAGTGGTTTTCTCAAATTATCCTGATTAACGTGGAGAATAAATTCCCAAGACGCTCTGCCTTCGGTGCCTCCAATTGTTGAGAAATTAGAATCAGCATTAAGTGCTTGTGCACACTCTCCTGCTGCTCCAGAGCCTGCCACCCACCAGAATGCCCTTCATCCGGAGGCTCGCTCCAGGAGGCTGGCGGCGCAGGCAGCAGGAGCTTAACCAGTCACCCTCAAGGCCTGAGCGGCCACACCTCTCAAGTCTCCATCAGGGCAATGAGGGCAGAGCAGGGACACAACGGGCTGATGAGAGGCGAGCCCCAGGTCTCCAGAACACCGCAGGCGGGCCCCGTGCTGCTTGCGGGAAGCCGGGCCCTCGCAGATCAACTCCATTTCAACTCACAGTCACTCAAAAGGCCTGCAAGATTAGCCAATGATGATGATTGTCTCTTAATTGGCCTTTGTGGCAAGTCAACATGAACTGTTGGTGAGCCCGCTAGAAGAAAATTATACTTATTTTTATTCAAAGGCAAAACAGCTCTTTTCATCCTTTTGTGGGAGAAAAAGAAATGAGAAATATTTGAATTAGTCAGTGAGAATGCATAAGTGGTGGAGGTAGGGGGTCCATGTTTTTCATCTGGTTTAAATGTAATCCTTTATTAGATCTCATCTAATTATAAATAATTATCTGTTATTATTGAGAAACGGCCAAAAACTTCTAAATTACCATGCTTCAGTCCCTCCGCTGAGAATTTATTTGCACCAACAACCCTCAAGCTAATTTTGCCTTTGAATTTCCTTTGGTGCTGCTGTTAAGTGTAGCAGGAAGGTCTACGCCCAGACGGATGCCCCGTGCCCAGAAGTTGAGGGGATGCTGGTGAGGACAGTAGCTGATGGCGAGAAGAGTCTTCACTGTGAATACCAAGCAGAGACCTGACCCCCTTCGTTTTCAAAAGTAAATCATGCCTTTGCATTCTAAGGCAGGGCTGTTTAGACACTGCATTATTCCGAGTATGTTTAGAAGAAAACAAATGGCCTTTTCTATACCCCCTCAAGTGTCTTTTCCCAGATCTCTACTGGCTTCTGCCTATAAGGCTGGGAAGGACAGCCTTGCAACCCTGACCAGAACCCTAGAGTGACGAGGAAAGATGCTGTTACTTCCTGGGAGGTTTCTGGTTGAAAACACAGAGGGTCTGAAAGGGCAACAAAATGGAAAGAGGTTTCTACAGGGTCTGGGAAACCTGGGTTCAAGATTGATCCCACGTTCAGAGCTAAGAGACCAGAGAAAGGTACTCAAGTTCTTTGGGCCTCAGCAACCTCACAGGTAAAATGGGTGAATAATACCTACTTCACATATCTGTTTTCAGGTTACTATAAGCATAGAGCCTTTTTGTAGATGAAGCAACAAAAGTCCAGTTCACACACAGCACAATAGTCAGCACGAGGTCAGAGGCTGCCCTCCATTACACCTGCTTCCTGGGCAACTCAAATTTCATGGTTCAGACACATTCACCCATAGAAAGGATGTGAATTACTTCATTAATAGTTTCTTACATGAATTACACATGGAAATGATAACATTTGGATGTATTTGTTTAAGTAAAACAATATGAATAAATTTCATTTCACCTGTTTGTTTTTCCTTTTTTTTGTTTTAATGTGACTTCTAGAAAATTTTAAATTACTTACATGGTTTGAATTATATTTCTCTTGGATGCTGTAGACCTAACCTGTAATTAAATATCCTTGGTTGTTTCAAAAATGCCTTATTTACAGTTAAGCAGTTTAAGAAGACTTGTATAGTTTAGGAAAACTCCCAAGAGATTTTCATGTACACCTCTGGTTAAGAACTATTGTTCTGAGCTTTTGATTCAAGAAAGATAACACTAGATGGTATTTGTAGATGATGCTGTTTTGCAACCAGCTGGCACCAAGCCCTCTGCCCACTTATCCTGGGTCCCTTACAGAAAAACTGTGATGTTGGAGAAGCCCCTAGAGACGTGTACCTGTTCTCTTACCTAAAAACTCCCAACAGTCTTTGCTAGTAACATTATTAGAAGCACTTTCTTAAAGATATTCTATTCAACAAATATTTATCCACATACACTAGCCACTATTCTAGGCCCTGGGTATTCAAGAATGAACAAGCTAGTGAGATCCTGCCTTCCTGGAGTTCGCATTCTAGTAGATGGAAACCACTCAGATGTGTTTGGCTGCTGGAAGCAGAAAACCCCTTATTCACATGGGCTTAGACAGTCACCAAGTGCTTCTCCCCAGACCGCGAAGTTCAGAGGCCGCTGGGCTCCCGCAGCAGTTATCAGGGGTCCAGTCTGCTAGTCTGAGGGTCCCGTGATCCTGCCCCACTCCAACTGAAAACCTAATTCTCTTTCGTTAATTAATTTTATTGAAGTGTAGTTACTGTGCAGTGCCGGGTCAGTTCCTGCCGTACCCAAAGTGAGCCGGCCATCCGTATGTATTTATCCCGTGCTTCTCCACTTCCTTCCCATTCAGGCCGCCACAGAGCACTGAGCGGAGTTCCTTGCTATACGCTAGGTTCTCATCAACTATCTAT